CCCCCGCCGCCGCCGCCGCCGCCGGCCACCCCCGGCAAGCCGCCACGGGCCGACACACGGCCAATGGCCCCCGGCCCGGCCGCTCGAGAACAGCCCCCGAGTGCCTGCCGCCCGGCGGAGGCCAGAGCCGCGGGGCGCCGTTACGGGTGAGCCGCGCTGGGCCGCGCTAGGCCGCGCTGGGCCGCACCGGGCCGCACCGGGCCGCACCGGGCCCAGCCCGGTCTGCCGCTGGTGGCCGCCGCCGCCGCCGCCGCTCGGCCGACCCGGCGGACCGGACCCGGACGATAGAGCGTGTTGGCGAGCCGGCCCCCGTCCCGGGGCTGCGCGGCGCTGGGGCTTATCGCCGCCGGCCATCGCAGCCCGGGGCGGCGGATGCGCTGTTGGTGCGCGTCGCGGGGCCGCGCATGCATGCGAGCCGCCTCGCCACCGCGCGGAAGAAGCGCGCACACACGCAAGGACATGGGTGCGCACATCCTGCAGCGCCGCGCATACAGACCGGTCTCCCCCCCCCCCCGCGGGGTGCCGGGGGGGGGGGGGGGGGCTGCGTGACCCTTGACTTCGCGCACTTTGTCCCCCCGGCAAGGCCGGCGGCTCGGCCCCGCCATCCGCCGCCCCCCCCCTCGCCCAGGGCCCAAAATAGGGGCGCGTGTCATATGCGCGCCCCCGCCCGGCCTCCCCTCAGGGTGTGCGGCCCCACACACGCGACGCCCGGGCGAGCCGGCCGGCCGCGCAGATGCGCCCGCCCCCGTATACCCGCGCCCCCGGCCGAGCGCGTCCAGACACGCGTATCGCCCCCGCCAGGGAGGCCGGGGAGGCGGGGGGGAGATAGCCGCCCGGCGGCGCTCCGACCGGCCCCGCACGCCCTCCGCCGCCGCCGCCGCCGCCGCCGCCGGCCAGGCCGGCGCACCCTCCGAGCGCGCCCCGCGCGACTCGGCCCCCGGCGCCTGTGATTAACTGCGGGGGGAGGCCGGGGGCCCCCGGGCGGATGCGCCATCGGGGCCGGGGCCGGGGCCGGGGCCGGGGCCGGGGCCGGGGGGAGAGAGGGGGGCACACCCGGCGTGCCTGAGCACCGACGACCCCGGCGACCCCCCCCTCCGGGCGGCCGGCGGCTGGCGGCCAGCCGGCGCGCCATCCCGCGCCCGGCCCCGCTCCCAGGCGATACCGCGCCGCTCGGGGCAGGGCGGGGGGGAGGCGAGGCCCGGGGCCGCCCTATCTCGCCCGGCGGGAGGGATAGGAAATTTGCGCGCCGGCCGCCGGCCGGCAGTCGGCCGCCGCTGGAGCGTGCCCGGCCGCCGGCCCGCCCCCCCCCCGAGCACACACGCGCCCGAGGCAGGCCCGCCCCCTCGCCGCTCCGCCCCCCAAGGCACGCCCGTCCCTGGGCGAAAGAAATAATAACAACAAAAGTGTCCCTGCCCCCGGCCCCGCGAGGGGGGAGGGGGCAGAAAAAGGGCGCCGGCCCACCGAGGGCCAGGCATTCCGCCTCCCGCGAGGGCGCCTCAGCGCTGAACCTTGCCAGGCGCACACACGCACATCCCCCGCGCCTCCTGCCCCCCCCCGGAGGGCAGGCCGGAGAACCCGGCATCGGCTGATGTCCCTTTATTGGGCCATTATTTTTTCGGCCATTTCTCGGCGGCGCCCGGGTGTGCTCCCGGCCGCGGCCCGAGCCGGGTCAACGCCCGCCAACGGGCCCGATCAAACCCCGGGCCCGGGGACGCGCGAGCGCACCGTGGGCTCCTTTTTGTTTGCCCCCGAGGGAGCTTGGTTGGGGGAGGGGGAGCGATGAGAGCCCCCCTTGCCGTGGTGGCCGCGCGCCGGCGCCTGTCGGCGATCGGTCAGCCAGCACACATACACACACGGCCGGTCGGGCCCCGGGGCGCGCGCGTGCACGCCCGCCCCCGCTCGCGCTTCGGGGCTGATCCCGCCCGCTGCGCCCCCTCTCCCCTGGCCGACCCGCAGCCGGCGCCCAGGGCCCCACCAAGACCGGCGCCGGCGCCCGCGCGCGCGGCACGCAGGTCACGATCCTCCGCCCTGGCCCGGGCGCGTGCCCCCGCCGGACCGCCGTCCGTTGTCATTCACGCCGCGATCCCCGCCGCGCGGCCGGCCGGGGCGACGCGACGGCGGACCGCCGGCATCCAGCGCGCATGCCAATGGCACCCCGGCCGCCGACCCGCGCCGCCCGGCGCCCGTGCGTGTGTGCGTGTGTGTGTGTGTGTGTGTGTGTGTGCAGCCCCCCTGGCCCCCGGCAACGGCCCCCGGCGGCCGGTTCGCGGGCGCGCGTGCGGCCCCCTCGGCCGAGGGTTGGACGCACCCCGACCGACGCGTGCGGCTCCCCCCCGCCCCTCCAGAGCTCGGGCCGGTATCGCGCCGGCTCGGCCATCAGCGCCGGCGCTTGCCGCACGGCGGCGGCCGCCATGTGCGCCGGCCGCCCGGCCGCCCCTCCTCAAACAAGCCTCACCGCCTGTGTGCCCCGGTCCCCGGCCCGGCGCTCCCCACCCGGCCCACGGCCCAGCCAGGCCAGCGCCCTGCCGCCCCCCCACCGGCCGAGGCCCGGGCGAGGGCCCGGCCGATGGCCGACCGCCGGACCAGCGGCG